TACAACCTACAGTGCCAATGTAATCTTGGTGATCTCTCAGATCTTTGCTCCTAAATTTTATATGCAGGTCAAGCTTTAAAGGACAATTGTCATAAGCCCAAAAGAGCTTACATTTGTCTTAGGAGCCACTTCTGTTTCTGTTTTCTTCCTAATATTTTATGTCAACCAGAAATTATTTCATAAGGTATTTATTTCAGGCCAAAGATTTTCAGTTCTTCCTTGTGCTGAATGCACAGTCCAGTTTTGGTTTCATCTTTTCAGACACATGAATAACTATCCTGTTTCATGCTGTCATTGCAATTATTTATCTGGACTGGGGCTTTCCAAATAAAAGGCTCATTATTTCTTTTGTTAGAGATGCATTGAAAAACAACTGTTCACATGTGGCATGGGGGGCAAACACAGTCTTCTGGCCTCTCTGTTACTTAATGGCAGAATTCACACACTGTTAAAAAACTACAGTAAACTACAGACATAAATAATGCAGTGGCCTGCAAAAACAAAAGTGGATGTTTTTACCAGACTTTTAGTTCAGTATCTTGGTTGTGTATCATTCAACTCCTCTCAGCAACAGCATCACCAGCCCACTTATGAGAAATTAAAAACAAGAGAAAAACCCAAGAGCTTTCACATCCTTCCGTACAATAACCTTCAACTCTTATCTCTGCTTCTGGCTTCAAATCCACCAGCTCAGCTGGTTTTTTAGAAGTGTACTGATGGCATGTACTCCTCAACACCAAATTAATGCTAGTCTGGATCTATGCCATCTGCAAGGGCAGGAGCTGTAACTGGGAAGTAAAATGGATCAAAAGCCTTGAATTAAGAAGTCCTTGTTTAATGCAGAGGTAATTTGTGCTGTTAAGCCCAACCAAAACGGTCCTTAGCCAGAAGACACAGGGGGCATCTACACTGTGTGTTTAATGACCCTGACACAATTAACGTCCTCAGCTTTGGTCTCCAGACTCTTTGGGTGAGACAAAGGCCAGTACAGTCATGTACACTGGTCATTACAAAGGACTGCCAGAGGAGCTGCCACAGTGGCCATGTCCTAATCATGTAAGGACTTTATTACACCAGTGGTTTAAACCAACCTCCTTGACTTCACTTTGGGATAAGCTGGCAGAGCACTGTTCATGCACCTGGGGCTGGTCTTTGGAGGCCAGAGAAGACTACAGCCTGAGACTCCAGCTGTGCCTACTACCCCAGCCAAAGTGTATGAGTCATCCTGTAGCCTGACAGACCTTGACAGAAACAGCATGAGAGTGACTGATACAACAGAGGTCCAGCGTTCAGGCTGTGTGTGCAGCATGCTCCTGGGACTGAACAAAAGGACACTGAAGGAGCTTTTCTTACCATGCTTTTTTCCTTCAAGAGTGGCAATTGCTGTCTTCAAATGGTGACATGGGAGAAGAAAAGAAGTTTGATTATGCAGTTCCTTAACCTTTTCTGCTAGTACACAAAGCTTAGTAAAGAGAGAAAAGGCTTTCACCCCCAGGAAATGTGGGCACTGCATATCTGCAGTGGGAGTGATGAGACCTGTGCAAGGCAGGCAGGCTGCAGTAGCCTTCCTGCCTCAGGTCATGGGCCGCTCTGCCCCAGGAGCTCAGTGTCTCACTCTGTTGTGCATTCCTTCATCAGCCCACAGAGCAGTTATGGAGGTTTGCAGAGAGCTGCTTTCTAATAGGGCCTTTTTGAACTGCTATTTTCATTAAAAGAAGCAATTTTAGTTTCTTGCTTTTCCCTTTGTCCTCAACCACTCTTGTTCCCTGAGGAGGTTTGCAGGATCAGTAATGGTTTGGGCCATGGTCTACATGAAAAGGTAAGTATGGAGGGAAGAAAAAGCAAAAATACAACCCTGCTACCAACCCTCCAGCCCTTCCTAACCTCGGTTGTTGCACAAGGCAGGATATCCACCACAGGCAAGCTGCTACAAAAGACCTCCTTCGTCTCAGAGCCACAAGAATTAGCACACACAGACACTGCCTGCTCTGTAATTAAATGCCCTGGAGTGAAGCAATGTGTACTGTACACCAAGAGTGCTTTTAATAAGAATGGTTATTAAAGGAAGCAGAGAACACGGATGTTTGCTGCTCAGAATGGTGCTGAAATAGATGGTGGAGAAAGCAGAAGAGAGCAAACTCTGACAGGGGCTTGGTGACACTTTGCATGCTAAGGTTTTCAATTCCAGTTCCTGCTCTCACCTCCAACCACCAAATTATGCTCAGCCTCTACCAGAAGCAGCTGCAGTACTTTGTGGCTTTCAGGGCAGTGTTTTTCACAAAACAGGAATCCAAAACAAGGAAGGAAGTTTATTTTGATGCCAGCATTTTTAATCGTTTAATCACATTTTCTGAAGCTGTTCACATTGATAGTAGCTCTTCTCCCCTCCAGCAACGTGTAGAAAGACATGGGGAGGAGACACAGCAATAGGAAGGAATAATATTTAGCAGCTCTTCCCAGCCCTTCCTACTCTTTTTTACTGACTTTGTTTCAGCAGAAATATTCCAGCCAGCTCTACTTCATAGTAACATGTGGCACCTTTCTTCCAGATGGGAAGGAAAGCTCTAACTTCACTGCTGGCACGAGCCTTGTTTTCTATGTCCTGTGGTCCAGGCAAAGGGTTGCTGCACAGATGGAGGCACCAAACCTTTCATCTCTTGCTTCCCCAATTCATGGGTGGGGGAAGATCCTTTCCAGGATTTAGCCAATCATCTGGTACCTGTACTTGCCTAGTTCTTCAAGCCTCCAGCTGCTGTGCTCCAGAGGTGAGGTTTGAGGATAACCTCTTGCCTCTGCTCTGCCAAGGAGCAGCCCATACTAGGTCCATGTGAAAGATGAGGGTAAGAAGAAGAGGGAAAGGGGGCACGGGAGTAGCTGTAAGGGATTCAGCTCCACATTAAAGGCTGACAATAGGCCATAGATGCTCTTTATTTAACTCTTCCCTTACCATGCTAAAATACGCAAAATTTCCTTTTGCTTTAAAAATGCTCCAATGTTGGAGCTAGCTTGGCACCTTGCTGGTAATAAACAAGGCTTTCTTAAACTGTCTGTTTTAATACCCTGTTTATAAATAAGGGTTGGGCACATACAAATGATGGCAAGAAAACAAAACTGGCCATATTCCACAGTACAGTATGTGCCTCCATTAGTTGTTTTAAGTATCCTACCCAGCCCAAGCAGGGACTGCTCCCTGCCAAAGCCCCTCTGCCTGCTTAGCCACTGGCTACAGAAGGGAAGATAGGAGCTGTTCTTGAGAGGGTCCCACTCCAGACAAAACATTAAAAATCAGTTCAGATAAAATAAGGGATGGACTCCTTAAAAACAAGGGAAGAAAACAAATGGGAAAGGTTCCTCTGCAAGCCTCAGGTGCCTGGAGACACTCAGGTATCTCAGCCACAAGAGGAGACAGAGAACATGGCACTCTGCTACTGGAGCTGTTGACCTCCCAAGAAACCTACTAACCCTTTAGATAATGTTGGCGTGAACTTTGGAAGTGCTGAGCCCTGGGTTTCCTGTATGGCAGGGAACTGCTTTTTTCCTTATGTTGCCCATGAAGAGTTGGGTGGGAAGAAGTTACTGTGGCACAGAGCATGAGCTCTTCTGCCATCAGCAGAGGATCTTTTTCAGTTTTAAGAATTTTCCCTGCAAAGATCTCAAGAACAGCCATCAGCTCTTCTGCCATCAGCAGAGGATCTTTTCCAGTTTTGAGAATTTTCCCTGCAAAGATCTCAAGAACAGCTGGAAATGGGTACCTGTGATAATTCTAGCAAGACCTCCCTGCACATGTTTTGGCAGAGCAGTCTAAACCCTATTGATTTAGTGGCTACTTTCCAAGGGCTAAAGTGTATTCTTCTCCTATGATATTTATTGACTGATAAGTATCAGTCCAGTCCTGCCCTCATCTAAGTTACTGGAAGTCCTCCCCTCCAACTCAGTAACATCCAGCCAAGCTCTAGCACTTGACAGACCAATTTGGACAGGCACTGGTGCTTCAATAGCTGTGGGACTGTTGAGCCTCTGGGAGAAGCCCCACCTTGAGAAGGGCCAGACTGCTCCAAACACAGTTCCTTTACAGTACAGACACAGAATTGTAAATACACAGGTTAACCATAATATTTGATTGTGGAGGAACTAGATGAGTGAGGAAGACTTTGTTATAGTCCAGTATTAGTTACCAGCACTTCGTATCTTGTGTCACTTGGTGACATTGTTAATAGCAGCCAAAATGGGAGGAAAAGCTACACAATTCCCTCCTAGAAGTTACTTTGAGAAAAATCAAAGCCCGCTTTTGTGAAACACTTCAAAAGTTAAGATCAGATGAAGTTAAATATTCCTCAAATAATTTTCGTTTTCCCCAGGCTTTGTTTCTCCTGTTAATGTTCTACAACCAACAGTTAAACAATCAACTGCCACGTTTAAACCTACAGCTGCAACTGTTGGGTTGTGCAATCCCACATACAGGATTGTTTCCAGGGCTGTATTGTTTGAGCTGATCTCCAGCATAACCAACTCTCTTCTTGGGTTTCATGTTCTTAAAAAAATCCTAGGAAGCTTTCAAACAACTGCAGCTGCTTTAGTGCTACGAATGCAATTAACAGAAGATTTTAATTGCAAAAGTGCTCTCTGTGACTGCCTCTTTTTAGCCACAAAAACGGAGTCTTCTTTTTTTTCTTTCAGACTGCAGTGCTAAACAAGGAAACCGTTGGTAATTAAGCGTTTTATCGTGCTCATAACCGAGGAGCAATGAAAGAATTGTGCAAAAGAGGGGGAAAAAACAAAAGCCCCAAGGGTCTTAAGTCTAAGGGTGAGACAAAGGACCGGCTGGACTTCAGTGAGTTGCATTCTGTGGCGGGTGGAAACCCGATCCAGCAGGACAGGGCAGACATGGGGAAGAAGCAGCACTAATTCCAGTTTACCCAAGTTTCCTCCCATCCTTTCCCCCCTTGCACCGGGCAGCAAGAAACACGGGCAGGGCCCAAAGCAAGCAAGGCAGAGCTTACCTGTGCACTTCCTCTTAAAGGTTTCATAGTCTACCCCTTGGTCTCCAGGGACGATTGTAGAGCCGTTGTATTTAAAAGTCACCCTTTGAGAAGGGGAAAAGAGAAGGGGAAGAATAGATTTTAAAGTCAGCCTTTGGGATGGGGAAGAGGGAAGGGGAGTAGTGAAAGTCGCCCCTTGGGATGCGGGAAAGGGGAGTCACAGGTTCAAGTCAGGCTTGAGGAAGGGAAAAGAGGAGCTGGGGAAGAACACACCGTAAGAAAGCATCCTTTGGGAAGGGGGGAAGAGGAGAAGGGGAGTGAGATCTATGGAAGTCACCCTTAGAGAAGAAAAGGAATCACAGAGCTCCGGTGCCTGTCCGGGAGAGGCCGGGGGGGACCACCTACCAGTTCACCTCGGTGGCATCGTCCCTGACGAGGTTGTACGCCTCCCTGCACGCCTCCTTGTCGATTTTGGTGGCCATGGGGGCGGCGGGGAGGGGGCGGG